TTGTCTTGATTTGCATCTCTCTCAGGGCTAGGGATTTTGAACATTAGAAATAATTTTTGAACCAAAGAACTGCTGCACAAATATGTGCACTGTATAACTAAATAGTACAAAACTTGACAAATAATAGATTTAATAGGTAATAGTACATAAATAGAAAAAAATATTGTGTAGCTTTTAAAATAGTAATGTAGCAATCTGGAAAAGTACCAGTGATATGATGATATTGGCTGAATGATGTAAGTGTAAAATATTACAAATAATATGAGAATAACAAAACTATGTGTCAACAAAGACAGAAAGACAAGTACACACAAAAATAATTATTTTAAGTGGTGAGACAGGACATGATCTTTTTTCCCTTCTAAATAATCTGTAATGTTATTTCATTTTTCTCAATTAAAAAAGAAATCTACTCAGTTAAGTGACAATGAAGTTATTTTTACCAAAGCTACTTCCACAAAGAGATTTTTGCATTAGCTCAGATATTATCAAGGTGAATAAAAGCTCCCTGATCTGAGGATGACTGGCTGAGAAACACTGATATAAAATATTTTTTGAAGTATTGAGAAATGCTTCCTGTGTAGTATTTGGCAAAAATAATTTTTTTATTTCTTTTTTTCAAATTAAGTTTCTTTCCTTCACTAAGATGAGGCTTAAAATAATGCCATCAAAAGGTAAAAAACCTTGGAGAGGACGTAGATAGGAACTCTTATACACTTTTGGTGGCACTGTAAAATGGTACAACCACTCTGGAAGGCAGTTTGACATTTCCTCAAAAAGTTGAACATGGAAACTCCGTATGACCCAGCTATTCTACTACTAGAAATATACCCCAAGGAAATTAGAACTGAAACATAGATACTTACACACCTATGTTAATAGTAACATGATTCACCACTGCAAGAACATGGAAACTATCCATATACCCAAGCACAACTGCATGGACTGAAAAGTTGTACTTTCACACAGTGGAATACTATGCAACACTGTGGAGCAACGATTTCAAAAAATACTACATAACTGGTACAATGACAGACACATAGATCAATGGAATCGAATTGAGAATCCAGAGATCAACCCATCTATTTATGGTCAACTGATCTTTGACAAGGAGATGAAATCAGTGAAGTGGGGGAACGACAGCCTTTTTAACAAATGGTGTTGGCAAAATTGGAAAAATATCTGCA